TATATCTGTATGTTTAGCATGTCATACTGAATTTCTGCACATACAGAGGTTTGAATTGGTCATGGTGCTTGTAGTAAACTCTTTAAGGTGATGGCTGTAGATGTATTACTTACACATTTGAACAATCCCAAGATAGTTTGTTCCACCTGCAAATCTCATATATCTTGAGTGGGCCACAGTTTGGCTGTTAGATACATTTTACCGCTGAAATAAGTATATTATATTTTTAATGCCCACAGTGATCATGTATGATACTGTAAGAAAAGGAAAAACCCTCAACCAAAATTCCTCAAATTGCTGTCTGTCTGGGCCCATCACTAGTCATCTCCCCTCTTCTACCATTGTTACTTTATAACATCGCTAGTAGATGGTTTGATGAAAGATTCTATCAAAGCTGGTCCAGCTACTGGATTGTAGAATTCTGGAACATATTGATATGAAGCATTAAAAAGGTCTCTAGGTAAGAAAAGAAATGTGATAGAAAGTTTCTCAAAATAAATTACATATGACAATGTTTTGCCTTGTTTCATGCTGTTTTATAACCAAAGAAAACATATCACCTTTCGACATTTGCAGAGAAACTGAAATTGCTGTGTGCTTCAACAAAATGTTTCACTAAATGAACAGTTGAGATGTTTCATTGATCTCTACTTGTTACTCAGCAGCTGCGAGGCCAAAGGTAACCTTTCCCTGGTATAAGTAGGTAATCTCTCCTTGTAGACAGCTTGCGGTTTAACTCAACAGCTATTGTATAAAAAGTCAATTAGATATCTTATAGGACAAGGCAATAACATTCAGTAAATTGTCTACTCCCACATTATAAAGACAATCACTGAGCTGATATTGAAGTTTGATTTCTGGAAAATGGATTGGACCAATTTCCACAAATGGATATTTTTCTCTAACTCGCTTACCTGCTGACTGCTTATATTTTAAAGTGCTCAAGAACCTTCTCTTCATCTAGCTTTACACGCATATAATTTAATCTATGAATTTAGAGTGGCCTATTGATTATCTAGACTTGTAACAGGTTTACTTTTCACTCTAGGATAAAATATTGCACATTGCTTACAACTTTGTAGCTCAGTAGACTCTTGGGACCTACCAAGACAGTTATTAATTTAAGAGACTATATCCTGTACTTTGATTGAGTACCTCCACCAGGTCAGCTTCCTCTCTGCTACCAGGGACCCTAGTAGCAGATGTATTAAAGAGCTGCACTAGCTGGAAGCCAATCCTGCCAGGCATTCATTGGTTGAGAGCATAATTTAATCCTCCATGAATGGAATTTGGACAGAATTAACATTGGCCAGCCTGGAACTCTTGTACCTGGCTGGTTAATGATCTACTAATGATGCAGCTGGAGCTGGAATGACACCGGTGGCAGCATATACAGGCACCATGACCACTTCAAATAATGGAAGTTGGGATGTCATATATGTACATTTCTTAACTATAGCAATTTTATTTCATTAACCACCTATCATAAATGTATGTAATAACTTTAAAACATGTTTTTCTGTTTTTACATGGAATTCAATAAGGAGTATTCTTTATTATTATACTTAAAGGACCACTATAGGCACCCAGACCACTTCAGCTTAATGAAGTGGTCTGGGTGCCAGGTCCAGCTAGGTTTAACCCTTTTTTCTATAAACATAGCAGTTTCAGAGAAACTGCTATGTTTACCTATGAGTTAATCCAGCCTCTAGTGGCTGTCTCATTGACAGCCGCTAGAGGCGCTTCCGCGCTTCTCACTGTGATTTTCACAGTGAGAAGATGCCGACGTCCATAGGAAAGCATTGAGAATGCTTTCCTAAAGACTGGCTGAATGCGCGCGCGGCTCCTGCCGCGCATGCGCATTCAGCCAATGACGTCGCTATGGAGGAGGAGAGTCCCCCGCCTGGCGCTGGGGAAAGAGGTAAGTTTAACCCCTTCCTCCCCCTAGAGCCCGGCGGGAGCGGGACCCTGAGGGTGGGGGCACCCTCAGGGCACTTTAGTGCCAGGAAAACGAGTATGTTTTCCTGGCACTATAGTGGTCCTTTAAAGTAGATAGATAATCTTGGATACACTAAATTATAGATACTTTATTTCCTCATGATGTTAATATTTAGTAGATTATCCTGGGAGGTATACTTAATGTAACCCGAAGTACAGTGGAACGTAACAACGCATTCCAGCCTGTGCCGGGAATAATGCACGTTCGGGAAGCAGAGAACCAGAACTCCACTGTGGAATGCAAGATGCGCACCAGTGCGAAAACTACAACTTGTGCTGGAGATGACATATTGTTGAGGACCAAGGGACCGGAACGCCATCGTGGAATGTACAAAACATTTTGGAACGCATGATGTGCTCCACTGAGATGGAAGAGGTGAACCAGAAGAAGACCAAAGGCCTTTAAAAGTATTTAGAAATAATAAACACTGACTAAAGAAGCTTTCGGTTTAGGACAAAACGAGTTATGGTTGTTGAGACGTTGGCCTAAAGACTTTTTAGATTATTTTACCAGGACTTTTTATTTCTATTGAATTATTACTTTTTTATTTGTTGTTTTACTTTTAATAAATGATTCATGGCACAAGACTCCTGGACATTCCGGTTATGTTTTTGATAGGCACAACAATTGTTGGGACTACGTGAGTGCAATATAGCTTAAAATATTTTCTGTTTAGGCCATACAGTGCTGTGCTATGGTTCTCTATTTATTCATACAGCTGTGAAATACCTGCTAATTGCCCTGCTGCGCTTGACATTTGAGCCAAATACATTAATTGGCTCTAAGCTTGTAAGTGTGACCTTCCTACCATTGATTCATGAAGTATATACACACAGACAATATTGCATTATTTGTCTGCTTTCTGGTTTGTATGTTTTTTACAGATTTGGTTTTCTATAGCTTTATGTAAAAGTAATATTACTACTGCTCTACCTTATATATGTATTTTGAAGTTGTCATGATGCTTGGAGTAACTCTTTAAGTCAAGGGTTTTCTTTTTAAAATAAATCACCAATGGATTTTTCTTAAGAACTTAGTAGATATACCCACATTGAAGCATGCATGCATTTATTGCTTCATTTTTTTTTCGTTGGAGTATAGCTAAAAACAGCTTGTGAAAGCTGCAGATCTCATCTGCAGCCATTGCTAGACCTCCCCTTCTAGCCCCGCCCAGACTTTCTGTGACTATCCAATCATAGATTTCCCAATGCAGCTCAATGAGAAGGTAGGTGATCTGTGCAATTGCTGCCTATTGAGTTTAACTTTATTGAGCTAACCAAACCAGGAAGTAACAGGTCCTGTTGTCTAACAGCCAGGGGGTGTAACAAGGTTGATTTATAAAAATCACCATTTTTATTGAACTCTGCACTTTTTGTAAAAAAAGAGGACACATTATTCACACTGAAGAGCTTTACATGTTTGGTTAATAGTGTCAGCTCTTAAAGGAACTGCCCAGAGTGAATATGGTCACTATTTGCCAAGACCAATATGATCAGCTTATTCCTCTATTTTGTAATATATCCCCTTTTTCCCTAACTTTCCTCCTCACTCCAACTATTCTCTCCATCTTCATACTCAAGTTTACTTTAATTCTCTCTTATTGAAAGCTACCACTCCAGACTATTTCACACGCTCTCCCCCATTACATTTTATTACCTTTTATTGTTAAGTCTTTTATATAATTCACTACCTTTATTTCTCCTTTCACAGTCTGATTTAACCACTACATTGCCTGTTCTTCTCTCTAGTCTCTTGGTCCCTATATAGCTCATTCTTCTAATAACCAGTTTGCAGACCCTTCACTGTGTCTCTCTAGTAACCTAGGCTGCAGACCTTCAAACAAGTCCGTATTTTTCTTTCTGTGACTCGGGCAGTTGTACAAACACACAGCAATAGTTGTTCCATCTTTTTGAGCTCAAGAGTGGCGGTCACAAACTACGGTGCACCAGTTCTTGCAGTAGGGGGTTATGAGTGTTTGGGCTGAAATTCCTCTGTCCCACTTTTCCCTCTTTTCTAGTATATCAATATCATTGGTGTAACTGAGTGTATAGCAGTGTGTATACCATTATAAATGTGTTTAGAAGTTATACAGAAAAAAATGGAAACTCTCTCCTTGTGAGTGTATTTTATCTTAATTTTACCCATGACATTGTACGTACTGGATTACACTATTGGTGGTTTCTTTTGTGTTTTATTTCATATGAGACACCAATACCAAAATTCCTCATCTGCATTAAAGTTTGTCTACTTGAACTACTTGAACAGTAAGGAGGACAAGAGACCGACCTCCAAAAAAGCATCTTCAAAAGGTTTTTTTCCCCAAAATATACTTTTTTTTTTTTTTTGCTGGGACTATATAATATTGTTATATCTCAATATTTTTATATATAATATTGTGTGTGGGTGTGTATACATAATATCCATGTATGTATGTATATTTCAGGTAACAGACCATGTTCTGCTGCCTTTGGAGCTAGCACTGTATCTCACCTTTCTTTCTTTCTTTCCCCCTGTTGTGTTTAGAAATTAGTCTGTACAAATAACATACATTGATCTTGTTCTAAATTACTTTTTAGTTCCAAAAATAATTAGTGAGCTACCTAAAATTTCTTGAAAAGCTCCACCCCTAGCCACACCCCCACTCAACCCTAAAATTAAAATGTCACTCTTTGTCCTGTTGGGAGGTATAATATTCAGTTTGCAGATTTGCAAAAATTAAAGGCAAGAAAGTTAAAGGGAATCATTCGATCCCTCGTACTTTCTCATTTCAGTCTCCATCAACAGCAGCAGGAAAACTTGGACTAGCCCTAAGTAATGTAGACCGTTTCTCATGTTGCTTTGTCCATTAATGTTATACAAAATCTGTATTTAGAATTCTTAAACCTTTTGGACCAAACGCATAACAAGTTCATCTCAAAACTGATAAAAAGTATAAAAAAGTAATAACAACAATTGCAGAATATTAAAATACAGTCTTACTAATAAAAGCTAGGTGTTTTGACTTCTTTATTTGTCATCAATTTGTTAGCACATACATTTTGTTTTACAGATATCCAAAGGCATAAGGAAACACAGATACTGGACACAAATTTGCATTACTAGTTGTAAGAATAGAAGATAAAGAAAATTTACTTTAAAAGAATCTACATTCGGGGATTAGCGGTCCTGCTCAAAACAACTGCAATTCCCTCAATCCCTAGCTTTCAAAGGCTATGAATGTAGTAGTTTTATATCCCTGTCTACAATGTGATATGTCAAGTGCATTCAGTAATAAAACATGTAATTTGACAGGTAGACTGCCAGTGCTGGAGACATGACATGTAAATGCATATATATAACGGACAGGTTTCCTGTTGTGCCATTTGGGACTTTGTTCTAAGAAAATACAAGGCTCTAAAGCAGTCTTTTAAAATATGTAGACAATTGCTATGAGATTTATTAACTATAAACCGTTATTTGTAGCGAGTTAAAGGCAATGCATGGCCAATTCGGAATAAATCTCAGATGCCAACTCACTGTTTAATAACGTATGCCAAGTGTTCACTACTAAGTGTGTGTATATATATATTTACAATAAGCATTTTAAAAAATATATATATTTTTCCAATTAATGATTTATTTGCTGTAAACTGATTGTTCGCTGACACGTGAACCTATCTATCATCCAATACTTTTTAGTATAATTTTCCAATTTTTTTGTTCTTTTATTTTATTATGTACAACTCTGTTTTGTATTTAACAGCAAAGACTAGAAGGGTACAAACATACACATTTTGCAATCTGATATTCTGAAATATGTGCAATATGCATTCAATTCAGATTCAATTAATTCCTAAAATAAAAAGTACTAGTAATGACACACAATTTTATCAAAATAGTTTGCCAACATGTATTTTTCGTATTTATCTTATTTAGACATTGAGCTTTTATAATAACTTATTCATTTATTGAAACACAGTCAGAGTTCCAGCTATCTGTCTCTCTGTCTATTCAGAATGAGGTTAGTATTTAGATCTTGTGGAGAATCCACAGAAAAGACTTGAGTGAGTTTTAAAACATTTGACAGTGTATTTTGGCTCCACGTGTTTTTATTATCTGTAAATTACTTATAAATGATAAAAAAAAATTTTTTTAAATTGCTGGATCTTTTGCACTGTTTAGTTCTATCTTATGTTTGCAGCATATATAGAACATCTGGCATTAATTACTCTGATACTGCATTGCACAAAGAGAAAGTATGTTCCATATCCGCCCGGACCTGTATGTCTTTTCGAAGTTCATATATTTATTAAAAAATCTTAAACTATATAGTGCTCTCTATGTAATTTCTTCTTATTTTTATAAGAATATGGTTGCTATGAGTAATTGGCCTTTTGAAGATTGCATCCTTCATCTGTGAAGTACAACTCTAGTATTTACAAATTCTATGGAATAGTGTACATATATTCTGTGCAAATTAACCCTTCACCTTATCTATTTCTACGTTATACCCAGAAAACCACTGGTGTATTTATTTCCTACATAGCTTCTGCTCCATCCCAACATTTAAGTGTATTTAAGTGTGCCAACAGTGAAACCGTTAAACAACAATTCTCTATAAGAATCCAGCTTTGTGATTTATATACTGCACTTAGCTCTTACAACAACGTCTTCTTCTGATTTGTTTGTAGTATTGGTATACGCAAACAAATTATTTAGTATGAATGGTGCCTGTAAGACTATATGTACCATAAAAGTGTCAAAGACCATCTTTCAATACTTAATTGATACTTGAATTCATCTGTCTTTTCTTAGTAAACTCATTTCTCCCTTAATCTATTGCTATATGATAAGGCAATTTCATGTGACAATAAGTCAATAATAAAAACAAGAGATGAATTTAAAGTAAAGAAAGATCTATATTATTCCTTAAATTGAATCCCATCATTTTATAGAAGAGAACTCTTGCAAATGCTATTTTAACAAAATATTATTTTCTATTATCAGAAAATAGATGAACCACAGCACAGAACAACCTGTTAACTGTCATTGTGTTAGCATTCCATACAAAATACTACTTAGTAATATGGTAACATTATTTAGAAGTTACACAGTACAGATAAGGGTGCAGAAGTTACGAAAAATGAATTCACATGCATAGTGGGTAAAATTGAATTACAGATAATGTCTTTCAATCTGTTTCTTTAACCGCTTAAGGACCAAACTTCTAGAATAAAAGGGAATCATGACATGTCACACATGTCATGTGTCCTTAAGGGGTTAAACAAACATTGTCAATGATAATTTGGTCATCAATCTTTTTTTCTGTTTGAAATTTTTGTTTTCTATGCAGGCCTTCAAAAAAATACTGTTGAAAAGTGGCTTTGAGTGACCCTAGCAGTCTTTAATAAATGCACAAAAAGTCTCTGCTGTGTGGTAGAACAAAATGTTCCCGGGATATTCTTAAATTAAATCTTAGATCTCTTTTTAGAGATCTGGGTCTGCTACAATTAACCAAATTAAGTCCACAAATATGTTATGACCTTTTATATGATGACCTTTTACTAACGAGCAATACTAATAATTCATAAAGTGTGGTCTGTATATTGTGCTTGAGTCAGTTTTTTAAATTATAGAAGTCTCAATATACTGCCTGAAACATTCTCCCAGATCAGCCTTTGTCTAATGTCCAACGTGACGCTTTAGACATCTTACAGTAGGATTGACGTAGCCTTAATTTAAAGGTATGGCAATTTGGTGGGATTGGCATTGCTGTCACTTATAGCTCCATGCTAAAGGCATGGGCAATTTGGTGGATTTCATTAATCATAGCAGCAAAGTAGCTAGTCCCTTCATAGTAGGTAGGATGAAAATTGCATCAATCTGTTATTGCAATACGTTTCACCCTCGATGAGTCAATAGAATACTTTTTAAGAGGCGATACATACATTCCAGATGCACCAGTTCTGAAGGAGAACCACTAAAATACATGAATCTGTGTTCCACCATCTTGTAGATTGCTGTAGGACCATCCGCACACCCACTAAAATGGTATATATTCAATAAATAAAAGAATCAAGGCAGATGTTAAATAAAGAGAAGCCAAAGCCTTGCTATTGACCTAGGTTTTCATCTGGAATCAACTTCTGAGCAATCCAATTTTCTCAAGGAAGGAATCCTAATGCTCCTAAGAATTTAGCTAAGTAGAGCTGGAAGGACAAGATCCCCTGGATAGTGGATTTGATAACTATGTAATAAGGTTTGCAGAGCCTACTGCATTTAGCACAGCTCCTCCCCAAGGCATCATGCGATAAATGGCCCAGGTACATCTTTGCTTTCTTTCAAATATGATATATTCTTTACATGTAATAGAGCAAACTAGATAAAGCAACAAAATCAGTGATAGAGGTCACAAAAAATAATTATCCCTCTGGAAAGAAAGATGAATCTTAAAGGCGCCAGGGAGACTAATTCTACAACTTTGTTACTTTTTGTTTACTAGCAACATGATCCCGAAATTTGAATAGTTAATGGATTCATTGCTTTCTTTTAGAGTTGTCTTCCAAGGATGAAGCACACTTTGAAAACCACTTGTTCCAGGGAATGACCACTTCTGATAAATTACACAAATTAGAGCAGCACTACCGTATTGTCTATGGTTACAAACTTACAAAATAAAGTTATATGTTCTATGTGTTTGGATAACAACATCTATAGATTAAATTGTAAAGCACTACCAGACAAAAGAAAGCTCTGGTTATCATGATAACTCTCCTGTAGAAACCGACATTGATGGATACATAAATTTAATTCATTTGCTAATAAAGAAGACCGGGTCTTCATAACTTTTTTAATAAACAAAAATATTGACGAATACATAGTGTAAATTAATTTGCAGGTTTCAACAGAAAAGTAGGTCAAAACTAAAATCTGTTAAATGGAATATTGTTTTGCTATCATTGCCGAACGTAAGTTTGTTACCAATATTTTACCAGTACCACATCGCCGTGTAGCGGAAATATAGTAAAATATGCATTAAGGTGTTTGTTTTGTTATTTTAGCATCAGCAGGGATTACAGTGATATAAAATGTAATTACTACGCTGTGCAGTCTATTCCTTTAACAGAAGCCAGTGAAATAAATCATCAAGTTTTGTTCCACACTGTTTTCTAGCATAGAAAATGTTTATTAGTGCCAAAATGTTAGCTGCGTGTATGCTTTTAGTATATCGTCTCCTCTATGGCTTGTTAATATACATGTGTATGTTTTAAAGCACAGCCATAAATTGGTACCATACACATGTGATCATTAATACAATTTCCGCTGCGACTGTCAAATCATGAAATCAGAGATTTCTCTGACACGAACAGGAGGTGAGCATTATTAACACAGAGACGAATGTCAGCATATGATACAGTATTACATTAATTCTTCTCAGTTGCCTTCTGTAGTCCTCCACGAATGACAAGCAACATGTTTGAGTATGATCCCTTAGTAAATCTGAGCAAAAATATGACAATTATATGATAATCACTAATAATATTTCTCTGAACAAATTCCTACGATTTCAACATATTAAGCCTTTATTATTTTAATTATTTAAATATTGCACATACGAAGCCTGCCTAAGCTGCATTTTCTGTAATGTTGCTTAACAAGCTTCTATTGACTTTGTATCCGTCATTTTCGTTAATTAACCGGTTGATGTGCAAAAAGTCCAGATCCATAACTCTATTAAGGTTTGACTCCACTGATAATAGCCTTAATAATATCACTCACAATAAAACAAAGAGTCTATTATGATTCAAATGTATAATAAATAAGTATACAAATCTCCAATCGCCTTTTGTAGTGTGCAGCTATCCACCAATTCACTCCTGACACTGTTCTTACGTTCACGCTCTACTAAACCAGATATGTTCCCAATCCACAGGGGGCACAATTAGCATGGCTGACTTGCCCATGTTACAGAATGTCCTACTCAAGTCTCGACAAAATGGAATAATCTACCCATGTAGAGTGTGATGTATATTAAAACAGCCTTCAGCTAGCCAATACGTAATACAAAAATCCAATAAGGATGTCATACAGATGCGGTTCCCAAGTGAAACCAGATGTATATTGTGACCTTTCAAGTCTTACTGCAAAGGTCAAGCAAGATATCTATTGATAAACTGTCTAAACATCTTTATTTTTGAGCTCATATCCTAAATAGCTGCCACTATGTAGTTTCCAATCATTCTGTTCAGATGTAGCATTTATTGCTGCTTTTTATTATCACAAAAAACAAATTGTACTTTTTATTTATTTTAAAGAAATATTTCTTGCATTCCCAGCATGACAGGCGTCTGCATTCCACTTGAAGAGGTTTAACTACTAAATATGCCAGACTTATGCTTTGAGAAGAATTTTCTTAAAACCGTGAAACCTTGAAATGGCCAGTTCACGTTCTGAATCCTGAATGATGTTCTTGTTTTGTTTTTTGTTTTTTTAAATTAGAAAATTATTGTTTTTCAAGATGATTTCATGCTCATTTTTGCTTCAATAATTCCAAAAAGGTAATCAAAAGAAAAAAAAAAAAGCCCTTTCTTGTGCTGTTCTTAATAAAAACAAGTTTGGGTATTTAAATTGGACCATGGAAAAGTCAGCACAAAATGTGAGTTTCTTCCTCGACCATTATTGAAAAAAAAGAACTTTCCAGTGAACACTCTGTTACTTGTGGAGGACTGAGAGAGCTTCGTCCGCTGTCATTGTCC